TATCAAGCCAACTGGGAGCTGGTCACATTGTGAGTTCATATGATGATGTCTTCATATCTTTCTCAGCAGTTCAAATATATGATCTTTCATATATTCACTAGTGAAAAGTTATTAATCATAAATGTATTCATTACGAATATCATCAATGAACACATTTTATTTTATTAATAACTTTCAGCAAAAAGATGTTACATTAAATGTTATATAATTATGTATTATAAATAAATGAATTACCTGCTCTCTTGTTTGAGGAAAGGCTTCAAGTAACCAGCCCTGTATAACAAGATGACAGTGGCAGTTGGATTAAGGAATCAACTTTTAAATTTTAAATTAAGCTATGAACCCCAATTTATGTTCTAGAAATAGACTAATGCAAATATAATTTTAAACAGTTTTTATTAATTATTAATGATAGTTTAAATTTTCATATCACTGAGTCAATGACCAATTTTTTTTCAATATTATTGACATTAGCAGTCAAGATTTTATTATAATAACTAAAGTTAAATTTGACTAATCCATTTCTTTACCTTACTAATACAGTCTTCTTTCTCAAGTCTTTCTTTGATAAGACCAACCCAAATATGAGTAGGCACTGTCTGAAAGTAAAATAATTTGAATATAATCCTGTTAATAATATAAGTGCTGAAGATTAATTTTATTTCATTATATGACCAAGTAAATTACTGAACATTGCAATTGGCTGAGAGCAGATCAATTTACTGTTAATCTTTAATTTGCACTGTGGTGCAACTTAATGCACGTATGTTTGTGTACAAACGCTCAAATAATTTAAGGATTTGCAGCAATTTTGAGAGAACTTTCAAAAATCACTTGTAGTGAAAATTCTTAATTGCACTTGCATTCATGAGATTACCTATACTAATATAAAATCTGGAAATCAGACAACGATCATGGAGCACTTCCACTGATTATCTTCAATTAATATTTCTCACTTGGTGTTAATAAATCCAAGTAAACAGACATAATTTGTTTTTAATTAGAGTGAGAGAATGAATTAAAGCTAATTCATCATTATGGATGACTACTTCATGGGAAAATACAGAAAAATTGACAAACATTTAAGTGACTCACTTGCGACAATGAAGCATGCATGGGATATGATTAAATTTCCAATTATAATGATAACATGCCTCAAGTATGCAAATACTACATTAAATGTGATCAAATTATTACCTCTTTGGCTGATATGTACTCTCGAGCCTAAAAAGATGAAAAAGATCATACCACCAAAATCAATTCAAAATAACAGCATTAACTTGTCAAATTTCAGAATTCTTCTACTAAAGAGCTGTTAATATAAAGGTATGCACTTAATATCAACCACAAACCACATTATCATTGCTGTTTGCAGTTTGTAGTTTTCTCAAGCCCAGTTGTCCTTTTTCCTTGCTACACCAAAACATTCTATCAATATTTCTGGTGTTCACGGTTTTCTAAGTTTCACAGTAAAAAGACAAATTAAATTAATCACTTGCTTGCAAACTACCAAATCCTTGTTTATAATAATTATGATATTTATTACAACTAAAAGTTCCTATATATAAGTACGAGACAGAACTATAAATATGATCAATTTAACAAATACACTGTACCTTATTAGCTGATTTTGAATCTGATTCTGCCACAAGTTTATCCAGTGTGATATGTACACAGTTGAAATGCTGAGCTGCCATAACAGACTGAAAGAGAGAAATTAAAAACAGCTTTAAAATAAATATATTTTTAAAATAAAAGAACATTTTTTGGTCCATGGTAAATAAAAAAATTCTGACAAGAGAAAAAAGTGTGATTTACTTTAAACTGTTCCAAATACAACAGGTCTATCAACTAACCATATATACATGGGGGCCAAAGTCACAGATAAACAATGATTCAGAGATTTCAGATTTTCAGATTTTTATTGTTCACAAAATACTATTATTTTCTCTTACCATGGTTCTTTTTCCTGCTGCTGGAGGCCCATGAATTATTATCTGTGGAACTGAAATTTATAATAGGCACACATAGGTTTACAATATAATTGAAATACCACATGCAAATCAGTGAAATGTATTTCACAGAATAAAGATTGAGAAAATTACCTTCAACATTTATTTATTAATTTTTGTAAACTAGTTATTAGTTATTGACTTTACTTTGGTGTCCCCAATTAGCTTATCTATAGCTAAATACACTGACACATTAATAAAGTTTTCACCCATCTCATTCAAAATATTTGGCTCTTGGACATTTTCTATGGATTTCATTTTGGTCAGTCTAAACATCACAACTTGACATTGAGCCCATTCTATCATCCTGTCCAGTCCCCTGATTCCCCTCAATAAGAAACAAGCCTAATAACAATTAAGCCTATAAAAGTCTAATAAAAATTATTGATTGATTCAATTGATAACTGGTTAGCAAGTGGACAGCAAGGTGTTAAAAATAACTAGATCATCATTTAGTCAGGGGCAACCAGTTGATTGTTTCAGTAAATTATCTGTTCAGAAGGATGATTTTCTTGAGAAAATTGTCACCTCAAACTTTGTGAGAATAAAATCTAATGCCTGTTGTTTTTAACTTTGGATAATGATAAATGAGTTGTTTTGGGTACCAAAAATAAGGGTCAGCTATGATTTTTCGGAAATGTAATAAGACCCAAGGTTTTTGGTAAATGGACAAAGCAGCCCTTATAAATTTGACAAAGACTCGAAGGAAATATGTGGCTCTCAGTAAGCTAAAGGGAGGTTTAATATAATTTTAACGCTTTAAAGAATGGGAAGAAGGAAACAAATCAGTATTAATTATTATTTTCTTACCATTACTTTCTTGTTCAAGAAGACCTATCATATAGGTCAAAGGGTCTGCTGGCCGTTCTATGATAAGCCTGGTCAAGAGTGACTGTAAACACAAGATATTCAGCGGGTAATTTATTTGAAGAGCTAAATATGAAAGATAACATTCCTTATTGTAAGCAATGTAGCAGCCAAGGATGAGCAGTGGTTCAGGGCCATTCTATCATATCTCTATACTCCCCTTCCCCATTAATTTCCCAATGAAGTACAAGTCAAATTCACACTGGCCCCCTACGTAGAGCAAAGACCAATGGAAAGTGCTAACAGGATGTTCTCTTCAGCAATAGCCCATTTTTTTCACCTTGTCACCCCACTCCTACCCCACTTCACCCAAAGGCAAGTTTCTTTAAAACACCCTCAGAGCTGTGCAACTTCAGGAGATCTGGGGGAAGCAGGGGGAAGACACAAAATAGAATGGCTCTTAGTGCAGTACAGTGTACGTACATATAACTCCAAGTATAC